TTTTTTTTTTTTTTTTTTTTTTTTTTTTTTTTTTTTTTTTTTTTTTTTTTTTTTTTTTTTTTTTTTTTTTTTTGTTTCTCTCTTAAATTTCATTTATTAGTGTTTAAATAATTTAGAATACAACCCATCTAAATTATAAATATTGACTTATGTTTGGATTGTCGGTTTGAATTAGATTGAATCTTTTAAAAAAATCTAAAATTTAGATATAATTGTAGGTCGACATTTTTTTTTTGTTAAGTCAACTCGACCAACTCGAAAATAGGGTTACAATACCATCCTACTTTACCCTATATTTAAGATTATTATAAAAACTAAGATTATTTAGCGTTTGTAATTAAGGGTTAGGTTGGACTGTGACCTTTATTTAAATTAGATGGCTCGAATCACCGATCTAATTAACTAGAAATTTTAGAATAGATCTAGAAAAATTTTTGAACCCAACAAATTTTTAAATTTTATTAGTGAATTTGGACTAGATCCATGGAAAATAAGTTTAGTTGATGTTTATATAATGGATTGGCCTACCTTTTTTTAATCTTTTTTTTTTTTTTAAGTATAAATATATTACCTAAAATGATTTTAATACAAATAATTTGATAAAGTTTAGTTAATTAAATTTAAATTTAAAAGGAATAAATGAGACAAAGAAAAAGGAAAAGAAATGGAAGTTACGTGAAAATGGGAAAGCCGGTGGAGGGGGTTTTGGCAGTTTTATTGAGTGAAGGTTGCAATTTCCAGGTGGCAGTACATAATTGGTTAGTAGCAGAGATTACAGGCTGGACTGACATGATAGCAAAGCAAGGGCGTTGTTCCCGCGATTCTGCTACTCAAGTTTTGTCGTTCTCTTGCCAGCTCAGCAACGCATTGCCATTTGTATATATCCTTTTTTAAAATAATATAAAATAATTATTTCCAAATGCTGTCCAGCCTGTCATAGTCAAACCCCTCCGCTCCTATCCAACCGTACCCCCTCCCCCCCTTCAAATTATTCTTATCCTTTTTCCTTTTTAATTAAATAAATAAATAAACCACGTTCGAATTTTAATTTAACGTCCTTTTCCAACGGCTCCCTCTTTCCATTTTTTAATTAATTTTAATTTTATAATTTTTCAAAATGCGGTTACTTTTTTTTTTTTTTTTTTTTTTTAACGATTTAACTGCCGTGGTGTATTAGTCTAAATGGGTCCCAGCTACGTCAAAACACGCGCTGTATTTATTTGACACGTGTCTATAACAGCTGTATACGATTAACTACCTTCCCTCGAAGCATCCTCTACTGGAAACAACCGGCTCAACCGGTCATTCTTATCTTTTCTCATATAAATACCCTTTTTCTTTCTTCACTTCTTCAACAAACAGGGTGAGGCTCCGCCTCCACCGCTTCTCCAAATCCTTCTCTTGTTCTTCTTCTGTACAGATTTTCGTAAGCGTTTCTTTCTTTTTATTTTTCTTTTTGTGGATTTGAATTTGTTATTTAGTATTGTTAGAATCTTTGTTCGATGGATTCGGTGAGGAAGGATTTGGATCGGATTAAAGGTCCGTGGAGTCCTGAAGAGGATGAATCGTTGAAGAGATTGGTTGAAAGCTACGGACCGAGGAATTGGTCGTTGATTAGTAAGTCGATTCCAGGTCGATCTGGAAAATCCTGCCGTCTCCGGTGGTGTAATCAGCTTTCTCCTCAGGTGGAGCATCGAGCGTTTACTGCTGAAGAGGATGAAGCCATTCTCAAAGCTCATGCCAAATTTGGTAATAAATGGGCCACGATTGCTCGTCTTTTGAACGGCCGTACCGATAACGCGATTAAGAATCACTGGAATTCGACGCTGAAGCGTAAATCCTCTGCTGCTATTGGTGAAGATTTCAACGATCCGCCATTGAAGAGATCCGCTAGCGTTGGTCCGGGTCCTGTCGGGTTTGGATTCAACCCGAGTAGTCCATCCGGATCTGATTTGAGCGATTCGTCTCTATCGCCGCCCGTGTATAGACCTTTAGCTAGAAGCGGTTCGATTGTTAACGATCCTCCCACCTCGCTCTGCCTGTCATTGCCAGGATCGAATTCGACATCCGGATACGGGTCAGATTCGGTTGCGAGCCCGACCCTGAAGATACCCGAGGCAACTCCTCCGGTAGGTACTGCAAAGGAATCGGAGGTATTCAGTGCGGAGTTCTTGAGTGCGATGCAGGAGATGATCAAAATCGAAGTGAGGAAGTACATGTCTGGGATTGAGGAGAAGGGTTGGAATGTTGTGCAGAGCGAGGCCATCGGAAACGCTGTAGTTAAGCGGATTGGAATAAGCAAGGTCGATTAGCAGAAACGCCATAAACCGAACCCCCACCCCTCCATGTTCTACAGAAATCACAATAATTTTGGCAGTGTACAGAGAAGAAGAGCAATGGATGAAGGTGTTTAGAGTTCCAATTCGATACAAGGATGATGTTCAAAACTTCTTTTAATCTTTGATTTATTGTAGAGAAGAAGAAAAAGAAACAATTCTCTTAAACTTCGTTTACGTGTTTCAGTCCATTGTCGTTTGTTTTTGAAAAGCTGCAAATACATATAAAATTGATAGCAAATAAAACCCCAATCTATATATAAACGATCCCATACAATGGAAGATAAGGGAATTTCAAAGTGCACTTAGAACATCCGCTAATTTAGGAAATGATCATGAGAGCTTATACTCAAAGTGACAATATCATGCCATTGTGGAGAGTCGTGTTCATCTAACATGATATCAGAGTTATACCCATACCCTGAATTCAATCATGTCAATAGAGGTCATGCCTGCCCGCGGCATAAATTGGAGACAATATTTTGGAGAAGCATAATTGAAAATGACGTCATTAGGAGCTGACTAGTTGGTCTTTAGACTTATCCAAAAATACAGTTCAATATATGGTTTTATAAATCATTTTACAACAAATTCTGAGATATCAATTGCTTTTTAAATTGGTAAAACAATCCATATATATCTCTAACATTAATATTACATTAAACTAAATATTCATAAGCTTCTATAAATATCTCAATTTACTACCTTTTTTAGATCGTGATCGATGTGGAGATTCCCGGTGCCGAGTTTGCGTAGATCAATTTCCACAGTTTAATTTTTTTCCATTTATTATTCTTTTAAAAAATAATTATTCGAAAAAATTGTAAAATATATGTATACATATAGTTTAAATATTACCATTATAATTTCAAAATTAACTTTTTTTTTTTTTTAGGCCGTTGTATTTTTGTGCACAATTTTACAGGGAAGAGGAGGAATGTTTTATTTATGCTAGTATATAAGTGCTTAGGGATATCTAGAGACATGTGAGTAGACTAAATCATGAGTACAATAGAGACGTGATTGCATAAAATTCTATCTTCATGAATACAATAGAGATGTGATTGCATAAAATTCTATCTCGTGTATATCATATGATGGTCCGATTGTGGTATTAGTAGAGGATTATGAGTTAATATTTAATGAGAGACTTACCACTTGTTATGAGGTTCACATACGTATTTTTTAGACTTAGTATGACTTATATGCACCTAGCAATGCAATACGTACACTATGTGGGTGCGATTAGAGGATCTCCAACAGGGTCTCTCTCGTGTCACCTTCTCATTGTTATACTACTAAGGTCAGGCCGACTACCTTAGTAGTTTATCTGTAGCGAAGAACATTTCATAATGTATGATAGCAAACTAGATTTGAAAATGAGATAACTTACACTAAAACTAGAATGAAATAACCTAGAGCGTGAAAATATAGATGAAAAAAGAAAATAAATAATAAAAATAATAAATAGTTCATATAAATTAAATTTTCAAGAAACACAAAAAAGAAAATATTAAATAATAATAGAGAATGTAGTAGTTTGGAAAGTGCTTAGGTGTAAAGTTGTGGTGACCTCCTTGCAACAACTTCAATCATTATACCACAAATTATCCTACTTCTCCATAGCGAGGTCTAGATACTTAAATGAATCGAGACCACGTTAAAGATTTAAAGTAATTTTATGTTAGATGACCTTTATGAATTTTCTTAAAATGCATATGAGTGAAGACAAAACGTGCTGGAAGAACTCATGTTTGTATGTTGGGAGGAGTAAGTAACGTGACCGAACAAAACATATTGGAAGAACTCATGTTGGTATGTTGGGAGGAGTAAGTAACATGACCATGTCACAGAAGATGCAGGAAAAATTTGAACAAATGAGTTCAAATCTATGGTGACTTATCGTCAAGTCCATCGGTAGGGATAAGTTTCCATACCCTTATAACAAATGCTTAGTTCTCCTCTCCAACCAATGTGAGATTTTACAATCCATTCCCTTGGGAGGCCAGCGTCCTCGCTCGCATACTATCCAGTGTCCGTCTCCGATACCATTTGTAACAGCCTAAACCTACCAGTAACAAATATTGTTCGTTTTGGCTCGTTACATATCGTCGTCAACCTCATAATTTTAAAATGCATCTGTTAGAGAGACGTTTCCACACATTTATAAGACATGCTTCATTCCCCTTTCGATGTGAGATCTTACATACTCGAATACTAACATTTTATGAATTATTGATAATGAAATGTTAGTTGGATGCACGTAGACTGGACCGACAGTCACATATGTCGTCACATATGTCGTTAAAAGTTTGTGGTTGTGTGTAAGGCCTAAAATGAATTATAGAGATGTTAGAAATTGAGAAGATGATAATTGAGTTGGTATGAAGTGGTTGGGAAGGACAAGGAGTACGAATAGGATATGTACCCTCCATCTCTACTCATACACTAATTTAGTTTCCTTTTATCTTCATCCATCTTATCCTATTCAATAATTCATCATAATGGATCGATGTGGTGCAATAATTTGCATAATCATAGCCTTTAAATTGTTTATCATTAATCATAAACACAAAATTCGTATAGTTTTAATTAGAACGACGGATTAAAAAATGCATTCTCGTTATAATAAAATCTGTTTTTCTTCGATTCAAGTTAGTCTTTTGTTCATCGCTACTTATATTTTGAGATATGATCCAAAATTTAATCATTAGAGATGGAAAAATAATGAGAGAACGTATATAATTCAAAACTCGAGCACTAAACTATTGATCTCGAGAAAAGCAAACGATGTTTTAGATACGTAAAAGTTATGCTCGTATTTACCCAATTTTTCTTCCATCATCCTTTTTTTTCTTCATTTCGTTCTTAAAAAAAGCTCCTCTTTTTGTTGGACTCTTGAAAGATATGAAATGAATTGAATGAATATCCCATTAACGGGTTCAAAGTGGTGGTCTCTATTGGAATTATCTCCTTCAATATCTCTTGATATCGGTAGAACTTTTTCGTCCCACAAATAGTGTCTAACCATAGTCCCGATTCGATTTTCAAATATTCAAATATGAGACCGTGACTAAAAAGGAACAAAGATTAAAAGCAAATAAAATAAAAATAAAAGATAAAAATACAGGTCAAAAAAACATCATACTTAATTATGAAACGGAATCCAATTACAAACTGAGTGTTGTTCAAATTTATTATAAATGGGAAAGTGGGTTCAAGGTACAGTTACAAAACAAAATACAAAAGTCTCAAATCCAAAGAAGGACTGACGCCCCACCTCGACCAGCAACTTTCGAACACCTAAAGAAATAGAGAAAAGAGCGAGTATAAAAATACTCAATAAGCAACCTACTTTTAAGCTCTCATTACATCTTTAACCTAGGTGATATCTACAAACTTTTATCTAGGCTCTAGGAAGTTCAGGCCTAGTCTTTACAACCATCTGAGTTCTTAGGTGCCTCAAAGTAAAAAAGTTTTCTAGCGGCTCATTGACTCATTTTGGATTCAAAAGAGGTGGTTCACCCATTTCTGACGCTACAGGTCTAGTGTGTGACAAATCGACATCTCGGATTGAGGCACTACCTCATAAAGTACTATTAGGACAACATGGTACCTATTAATCTAAACATCATATATGGCCAGTTGGTACACTCTTCCACACGACTTTAAAGTAGTAGTGTAACGACCCTAAATCCACCGCTAGCAGATATTATCCTCTTTGGGCTTTCCCCTTCGAGCTTCCCCTCAAGGCTTTAAAACGCGTCTGCTAGGGAAAGGTTTCCACACCCTTATAAATGGTGGTTTGTTCTCTTCCCCAACCAGTGTGGGACATCACAAGTAGAGTTTTAATCCACTTAGTTTTTGCACCAAACTTGGTAAAGTTTTAATCCACCTTTACATAAATATTTTTCTCATAGTTTTTAATCAACTATAGGAGGAAATAAACACGCTCAAATTTAATCTAAAACTAGAAAACTTATCGTTATTAACTTATGCTGGAGCTCCAACTTCCCATACAACTCAACTCTAACTTCCTTCGTGAAACTAATGCGAAAGTCCTTCAAAGATCTCAATAAAATTACGAAAATTTAAACTTGTAGAAAGAAATGGGTATTTAATTTCTCATCAGAACTCAGGTGCTACAACTGTTGTCAAAATTTGGAGAAGAGAAATTTCACATGATTTTCACGTAATAGTAATGTGTTGCACACGAGTGTATACTCGTCACACCAATTTCGAGCTTAAGTTAAAGTTGGATCGAGCAAGGGTTTAGAGTTCGAGATCTTACAATTTTGTCATAAGAACCAAATTGGATCGAGAGCATGCATGACCCAAGAAAAGGCAGCAAATCGCCAGCCTGAATCAATCATTTCATACCCAAACACACACACTAATATCTACAACGCTTCCCCTTTATTCTCATCACTCACTTTATGATATCTGCATGTTATTTCCAGATGCATACATAATCATAATCAATTCTCTTTAAACGAAACTTCCTTGCATCAACTATGACGCCCAAAAGGATGATGAAATTTCACACCAGAAGAACTTCTTCAACAATTATAAATTATATATCACAAAAAGATACAACCCGCGTGCCGATGGATGGAAGCTGTATGTGATTCATAAAAGTGTCTAATTTTTGCGTCAGATCTTATGGCGGTGGCCCTGCTAAACAACTTTCTCCCTTTTTCTGACTTTTTCTTCACGTATGAACAACTGGCCTTGTGTTTGGACAAGTCAATGTTCTCTCAGTGGGAAATGAAAGGCAGAGTCAAAGAATTTGGTAGTTTAAATGTATGAACATATTTGGAAGATTCACAAGGAAGGATGAAGCGTTGTTGTGTTGGAGTTTTGGCTGTGATGATACTGTTGGCAATGGTGTTTGTTCATGTGGATTGCAGGGTGCTCACATCGATGGGAGATACTCGGGCTGTGATGGGAACTGGCCGGGAGCATGTCGGGAAAGGTAACACGACTGAGTTCGTTAGGTTTGGTGGTGGTCGGAAGGGAAGATGGGCATTCAAGCATACTTCTGGACCGAGCAAAAGAGGACCAGGACATTAGTTGAAGACATGATTCAAAGAAACTTCTGACCATTCTTTGTTTGTTGTTGGTTTGTGCATTACAAATGAGTTCTTTGTCTTTCTTTCTTTTTTCCCTCTACAAATGGGTTATATGTACACTTCACACTTTGATCTCTGCCTATGCAAATGTATAAACTTTACATGTTTATGGATTGGCTTTCATTTTCTGGTTTTAACTTTTCGAGAAGGACTCTCCCACCCGAGGGAGAGGCTTATAAAGAATGTTTCGTTCCCCTCTCCAACATATGTGGGATCTCACAATCCACCCCTTTCGGGACCCAGTGTCCTTACTAGCACACAGCCTCGTGTCAACCCCTCTTTAGGGCTCAACCTCCTCGCTGGCACATCGCCCGGTGTCTGGCTCTGATACCATTTGTAACGGTCTAAGCCCACCACTAGTAGATATTGTCTTCTTTGGATTTTTCCTTCCAGGCTTCCCCTTAAGGTTTTTAAAACGTGTCTGAAACAGTAAGGTTTCCACACCCTTATAAAAAATGTTTCATTCTCCTCCCCAACCAATGTGAGATCTCACAATTCACCCACCTTCGAGGTCCAACGTCCTCGCTGGCACTCGTTACTCTCTCCAATCAATGTGAGATCTCACAATCCACCTCCTTTCAAGGCCCAATGAAGCTCTGACGGACTCTATAATAGCCCACAACTAGCCGATATTGCCGTCTTTGAACTTTCCCTTTTGGGCTTCCCCTCAAGGTTTTTAAATCGCGTCTACTAGGATGAAGTTTTCACACCCTCGTAAAGAATGTTTCGTTCTCCTCTCCAACCTATGTGGGATCTCACAATCCACCCACCTTTGGGAGACTCGTTCCTCTCTCGAATCGATATGAAATCTCACCATCCACTCCCCTTCGGGGCCAGCATCCTCGCTGGCATACCCATAACAGTCCACTGCTAGCAGATATTGTCCTCTCTGAAATTTCTCTTCCAAGCTTCCCTCAAGATTTTTAAAACATCGTGGGCTAGTGGAAGGATTCCACACCCTTATAAAGAATGCTTCTCTTCCCCGATGACGTGAGATCTCATAGAGTCATTCACTTCCAAGAAATTACAAACTATCTTCAACACAAATTCTTAGTCAATGATGAATGAAACTACACAATATTCAAAGGGTTTAGGTGCTTTGTTGGGCTAACAACTAATTAGAGTTCTAGAGAGACAAGTCCTAGCTAATGGAGGAACAATGGAAGGATTCCAATTCCAAGAAAACAAAGAAGATTCAAGCCACATTAAATTAACCAATGAAGAAATCTCTAGGCAAAAAAACGCTTCCATTTTTCAATGCATTTAAGACCATAGAACACAAGAAGAACAAATAATGAACAAGCAGATCTCCAGTAAAAGAAGCTCAAACAGGGCAATAAAATTAAGACCAAACAGATAGATATTCAAGTTTCAGTTTCAAAAGTCGGGTTTACCGCCTCAAGCATCCCCTTACTGATCTGCTTAGAGTAGAGGCCTGGAGAATGTCGATGCCGTCGTCCATGGTGGCAGGGGAGCCATTGGTAATGGCATACGCCTCCTCCTCGATGCTTAGCGCGACAAAAGCAGCTTCGTCCGCTGGAATAGTGCCGTATCGCTTAGAGAACATTGAAGGGGAGGAAAGGGTTTCGATCAGACGGCTGATAACGGCGTCGCGAGTGCGCTGCGTTGATGGCCATATGCTGAATTTGGTACCGAGTGGCTTGGCAGGTATAATCGGTTCTTTGATTTTCCACGTCCACGTCCATATTCTCAATTATTAATATCTTATTATACATTCTAAAAATATTCTTAAAAGTTTTTAAGTTATTTTAAGTTCTATTGAAATAATGGTGGTGGTCTGCATGTAACTTGTATAGAACCAATAATTGTCGTAAGCTTACTCCTCAACTTCTAATTGACTATGTCGTAAGAACTTGAGGTTGTGCGCTCGTTTGTGGTAACTATAGTTTATAACTTTTTATTTTTCATCTGTTTGCTTCTTGAGTAAGGAAATTATTATCATAATAGTGTCCGTATGATTATTATATTATAATTATTGTAGCAATTTAAGTATAATTAGTTGACTAGTACTACTAAATTTTTGCATGCGTCGTTGGGAGAAAGAATACTTGTTAGGCAATGCTTGAATATTCTGATACTTTCACTTTCTAAGAGTGTTGTATCTTCGGAGTTGGACACTAATCTATATGCCACAGTGCTCGATCATTTGATAATATTTTGACTATGTTGTTGAATAGTCCCAAATTGTTCTAAATATATAAGTTTGATGGGCTGGAGTGAACCGAGGTTTGTTAGCTAGCTTTGAGTTCGGTCCTTAATAAATGTAATACTTCAAATAAATTTTCTTTAATAAAGAAAATATATTATAAAACTTGAAATTAATGCAGTGGACGTAGCTAAAATGAGGAAGAATGTTGCTTCAAAAATTCTCTTATATGAAAATGACGGTTCATAAATTCTATTCTTACAAGAGCTACTCCAAACTTATGAACAAGACAAAACATTGTCTAACTGACAAACGTTGTTCCTGTTCTAACAATAAAATTGTTCCAAAAGTTGGTTTTCAACCTTCGGAGCCCTATTATCGATTCAAATTTACCCAACATAAAATTGGTCTAAGCAAAACACGCTTAATTATGAAATTCTTATGATTGAACTACCGAAACATAAGATGCACCTCATTAATAAAGATAGTAATTTTCACTTCTTTTAAGACATTTTTTAGTTATTTTATCCTCAAGATCATCCTTGTTTAGACATAGTTTCGGTACATAGATTCTTTACTTGAGTGTCACATCAAATTTATAATTCAACTTAAAAAATTCACTATGCTCACATGTCTTTTAAAGCAAAAAAACACACGTCCTACTCTAAGTAAAAAAAAAAACTTAATTCGTCATTAATTATATGGCCAAACATTAACAAATTCATTTGGTAGATATATGGACTAAATTATTAAGGATAAATTATTAATGTATCATTGTAACGATAGCAAATATATTATCTAGATTCATTATTTAATATTTGATACATGAAATGGTCATGGAATATGCTCCAAAGTTCAATATAAGGACCGGCCTATGTAAAAATTTAAAAAAAAAAAATACATTTCTTCCCTCCCAAAGGGGGGGGGGGTTAGATTTGAGGGAAAAAAAACTAATCTCAAAATCAATCACTTAAAGTCAAAATAAAACTAAAACTAACAAACCTCATCCTATCTCATAAAATTGTAACTTTCCATTATCTTCCAAAGAAATGAAATATCCAGCTGCGTTATCCCATAAGACAAGCCACAGCCACACTTAACACCATACCAGATTACACAATCGCCGTAAAAACTAATCACATAAAAGCTTCTTGTATGATCGAACAGCCAGGCAGCCATCCAAAGACAACCAAAATGTTGTTACATATATATAATATAAAAGTATGAAGATTTTGTTTATATATACCGATGAAAGGAGAAAGAAAAGGAAGAGAAAAGGGGAAGAAAACTCAACGATTGTGGAGTGGATCTGAAGCATTTGGGACCTTCCTCTTACTGGACATGAACACATGGAATGGCCTCATCCTACGTTGCTCTTTCATTTGTCTGTTGCCGTCTTTGGTTGCTTGGCTTGGTAGCTTCACGGTATTGGTATTGGCTTCTCCATTAATGTCGCCTGAGAGGAGGAGCAGCAGCAGCAGCAAGGCCACCGCCATGAACGGCAGCTTGAAGAACCGCATGGAAAGAGAGGCAGAAGGGAAAAGGCGAGTGGGTTTGTCTGTTGGGCAGTGAAGGAAGAGAAAAAGGGGTATAAAATGAAATCATGGGATATGAAATCGAGAGGGGGAGTTGAGTAGTTGTAGTGTGGATTTGGCGCTATTCTGGTTCACGGGACTAATAATTTAATTTAACTTTTCTTAATTAATCAGTAATAAGAACAGAAAATGCTGGATATTTAAATGCCTATATCATTTTGTGTTTCCCACTCTTCACTCTTTCTAAAAAGTAAATTCTTTTTTTTTTTATGCCTTTTAATTATGGTTTGTTTTGGAAAGATCTTCACTTATTTCATCTTTCAAATAAGTTTTAAATTATTGTGTATATTTAAATATTTCATTATACTTAGTGACGATTTGTGACTCAAATCTCTCAATAAGTGAGTTGTTACAGGTTGAGGTTTGGCACATGTTTTGTGTTGAAGTAAAGTTCATTATCGAATTTACAATTGGTTTAATTTGATCCAATTCAACTGTTCAACTTTTGTTCAATTTAGTTTTTCACTACTTTGACTATTTTCTGCAGTTCGCATCTGGTTCGGAAGGTTTTTCACTAGTTTTCATATTGATTTAACTGGTTCTTCAATCTAAGTGTGTTTTCTCTTCGATTCACACTTTATTTTGATGAGTTTACTTCAATTTTGTTCAGTTTAACACTACTTTTGGGCGTTCGGAATGAGATTTGTATGTATCAAGTTCAATGATTGAATGTTGTGATTCTGGTGACAAAGTTTGGCCTCTCTTGAATTTGGTTAGGTCAGTCCTAAGCTAAATGAAAGAATATATTTGTGGGAATCGCATTATTGAAGTGATTTTCCTATTGGATGTTCTTAATGAACATTAGATATATATATGCATTGTTTGTTATGTGATTGTTGAGATGATTGGTTCTAATGTTTCGTACAAATCCCTGCATTTGGTCTAGGTTTTTAATAGTTTTAGATTCCTCAATTTTACATTAAATTTTTGTATGTATGCATATCTAAATATTTTTATACTCATTTTTTGAAAACTAGGTCAAGGCAAAGGTGTAATGAGGAGCGTAACAAGGAAGTAACAAGGAAGGTGGTTGGTTGTGTAATGGGTCTATGTCTTCTTGTTTTTATATTAAGTTTTCATGCGTAGTAATTGTTGTGATTTATGTTGGAGATATATTGTTTTAGACTTTGTATCTTCATTTGTTTTAAAAAATGGTACTTGTAAAAAACCATATTTGATTTTGTTCGTATTGTCTTATTTGATAGTACTTAAAATTTCTTTCCAACTTTTAAATCACAAAAGTCTCATGTGGTCGACCTATGCTTCAAAAACCGGGTCGTTACAGGGCAGATCCAACTTTTTAGCACATTTTATGTTAAACTATGTTTGGAGGACAAGATGATTTTCTAAGCTCAAGGAGAAACTTTTGGAGGAGGTATTAGGTTAGCCTTTTTGTAAGCTTTTGATGAAATAGAAAAAGAAGAGAAGTAACAACATAGTATATTGGTATTATTGGGTGTTGTGCAATGCTTTTTTCTTCAGCTGTCCTTCAAGTGGGCAAATCTTGTCGGATGGCAGTGGGCAGTGGGTTTAAATTTGTTTGCATTTTCAAGGGCCCCTAAGAAATGCGGACACAAATCTTCCCTTTTTCTTATCTATCTTTAATTTGGGCATTGCTTAAAGCAGACGTTTTTGAGTGGTCAAATCCACGCCTAAAACGTACTACAATCTCCCAATTTCCTCTCCTTTCCTTCCTACAACACAATTAATCTCCTTTTGCTTTCTGTGTTAAAGTGGATTCCCTCATCTATCTATCTCAGCCTCTGGTTTATTTCAGATGCTTAGGGGTGGATTAGACATGGATTCGGTAACCCTTTTGGACCCAACTTTTTAACACTTCTAGCTCTAACTCTTCAATCCAAATACAAACTATTCAAATGAGTTGGTTTGAGTCTTGAGCTAAGAGCCTTCGTAATAGTATGACGACCAACTTCTTTATATACTCACAATGGTATGATATTATTTGGTTCGAAGTTTAAATCAACTTAATTCTTGACGAAAGAAAGAAAGCTCGAAAAATAATACACCAAAATACCTGATTATGTGGTAATTGTATTCAATCGTAGAACACCCTTCCGTATCCTTTCATTGTCGTTGAAGGACCTGCATACAAGCAAAGTTGGCTATCAGTCTCGATATGTTTTGTCTAAACGTGAAAGATAAGAGAGTTATGGTACTGATATTGTAGCTCTTGAACCAACTAGGTTAGATAAGTGTAAAATCCCGCATTAGTTGGGGAGGAGAACGAAACATTCTTTACAAGGGCGTGGAAACCTCTCCCTAGCAAACACCCTAGCAAACAGTTTTAAAAACTTTGAGGGGAAGCCCGAAATAGAAAGCCCAAATATAACAATATCTATTAACAGTGGGCTTGGGCTTGAACTATTGCAATAACTCGAAGAGAAAAGACTATTTTGTTAATAAAAGATTAACAATGCAAATCAAGTTTTCATTAACTACAATGAAACTTGGTCTAAAAGGGAGGAAAAAAGAGTTCATATCATAAGAACGAAAACTAAGTTCAGTGTTTGAAAAGGAAGAAATGGAAACAGAAAAAAGTACAAAAGGAAGGCATGCTCACAAATGGTCGCTTTTCCTCAATCCTAAATCCTAAATCTTAATTAACAAACTAGATCACGGACATTAGTGCTTCACTTCACTCATCACATTAAAAAGATTTCTTATTCTATTTAACCCCTTTTGAGGAGCTTCATAGCTGGGAGAGAGAGCTTTCATTCCACCATGTGTCGTGATCCTAATGGGTCATAGGTTAAGTTTGAATAATCATAATTGCAGGAAATCTATTGTAATAGCTCAAGCCCACCGCTAATAGATATTGTCCACTTTGGCCCGTTGTGCATCGTCGTCAGCCTCACAGTTTTAAAACCTGTTTGCTAGGGAGAAGTTTCCACATTCTTATAAGGAATGTTTTGTCTCCCTCTCCAACCGATGTGGAATCTCACAATCCACCCCCTTGGGGGCCCAATGTCATCGTTGACACACCGCCTGATGTCTGACTCTAATTCAGTTTGTAACCGCCCAAGTCCACCACTAGTAGATATTATCCGCTTTGGCCTATTACGTATCACCGTCAATCTCACGATTTTAAAACATGTCTGCTAGGAAGAGGTTTCCACACCCTTATAAATAAAGTTTCATTCCTCTCCAACCAATTTCGTATCTCACATAAATCTAAAGTTGTATAACATGTGCAAGTTTTGATTTCAACTTGAAGAATTGAAATTTTCTAAACATTAAAACAAACTACAACGATCACACATAGCCAAATAAATTCTATAACCAAAGATAACACCAGCAGCGAGATGAAAGATTGGAAAATTATAGTATTCAAGATTAAACCTGAAATTGGAGTTGGAAAAACTAAAAATTGAAACCAGATTCATGGTTAAGGGTTTTCACACAAACAAGACAATTATTTATACAGAAGAAATTTCACCTGTTTCCAGGCAGATGTCACTAGGTCGTTGAATCTCCTCAATTGCATGCTTTGATTTTGATCTGAAATAAAAGAAAGCTAAAATTGTCTTCCTGAATGGTTAGTTGGATAAGTTGTATAAATGACAGAACCATCGAGTTTTCCATTCAACTAAGAAATATAGGAAGAGGTGCATCAAAATGATCTCTTCATGGCTAAGACAGCCTTTGAGATAGTGATACAAAAGAGATTATACTTTTGATATAAGCCACGGCTTTGAAACGTCACATGGTAGTTGTGTTTACTAAAAGATAATTACTGGCATGTAATAACATTTCTCTAGCACACTGATGAACATTTATAACATGAAGGTTTTGCTTCCAATTGCAAGTTTAAGATCCCATTTGAATATTGCATACAAGATGAAAGATTTGGGATTGACAGAACAGATAAATTCTAAGCTTGCAAATCACAAGAACTATATCCAAAGACTATTGAACAGCTTTGAACTGGAGCTTGGCCAAGGAGCATTCACCAAAGAACTTACATGAGATACTAGAGATGAAAGTAACATACCTTATTCAACTGTAGTCAGATGCTTGATAAACATGAAGGTCAGAAAATGAGCAGATTTAACACATCTTCAATATGGTTAATAGATTTTTAGCTCAACATAGGAAAATGCATTTGAAATTTATAGTGGTCTCGTCACTTCAGCTAAGCTCCAGAGGAAGCTTCCTTCAATTGGATTCCTCCCAGAATCATCTCTTATTTTACTTTCATTTTACTACTGGTGGGGTCTTTTGTATCAATCTAATGTGATGGGTTTTTTTATAAGGATTGAAGCTCAAACATTCATCTACTCCTTTATGATCCATTTCTTCCATCAAAAGCAAAGATTCATCAGATTAATGCATGAAATGCAATTCTCTCAAATATTTAGCTAAAAAAGAAACCAAAGCATCCTTGAAGATAAGTTCCTTGGTTGAATAAATCATTTTGAACTTACGAAGATCAAAGCTTCTTGTTGGTGTTCTTTATCAGTTTTTTAAACTCTAATAGTTCTCTGATATTCGTTCAACCAGCAGGCTTTTTTGTAGGATGTCCTTGTGAAAAATTGCGTTTCTTGTTCAGAAAATATAGAAGGCCATGGACGCAATCCTTACTGTTATTCATATGGTAGTAACTTCCAATTTACAGGTACAAAGGAGTACAAAATGGCCAACTGATCAAAATAATAAACATATTTCAACTAATATGAACATGAACCCTAATCTTTGAGGTACCAAAATCATCAGTCTGGTTGGGAGCTGAACCCAAATTTTCTTCCCAAATAGCAGAGTGTTAAAATCATGTCTTCATTAGACACCAAGATATCCAATCCGATCCTCTCTTGTCAACTAAATTAGCAAGTAAACTAGATCAAAGACCCTTGTGTCAATCTAAGCTTCTTCAAAATAGGAAAACGGTATCTCAGGGGGTGAAGGCATCATTGCAACACATTTGAACTGTTCCAATCAGAAACATAAACATTAGCATCTTAAACTATCGGTTCCATGTAACTATAGTGGATGAAGTTTCTTACCATATGCAACTTGTATTTCTCTCTCACAGCAATCAGAGACCCTCCTCTTCTGGCCATGTACAAATCATGTAACAAAAGCACAGACGACCTCAGATCAGCTGGCTTGTAGCCTGTGTATTGTTGTATGTTTGAACCCTGCAATTCACGCATATATTAGCAAATTACTTCAAGTTCATAACTAAATAAACAAGGGTCTGAAACAAGCTATTACCCAAGGATGCAGCTTTGGGCGCATGATGAATTTTGCAAGAAACACAGCTGAAGCAGCAACCAAAGAAGGCAAGAACTTAACAAAATTATAGTCCAGTAGGCTAAGCTCAGCAAGGTAATGACCCAGGAATTCCAATTGCAGACTTGGTGTCTGTTCAGAGCATAAAGGATATCATTAGCAAATAGGAAACTCTAAGCTGATCCAATGTTCAAGCATGATAAAGTGAATAAATATATAAAGAACAGGACCTACTTTGAAATCTTCTTGAGCAATATTAGTGAACCTCCTGTAGACAAAATAAAGAAGCCAGAACGAACGAGTCAATACAAAAAGCACAGATCAGATTCCAATAGACATGAAGAACTGCAGTTAAATTATACTTGCCTTAAGAATGTCTTGGCAGTAGGATTTCCCATTTCAAAGTTCAAAGACTTAAGTATATCAGCCTCCATTTTCACAACCTTACAACATCACAAAATCATGTCTCAGTATTGCATACCCAGCAACAAGAACTAGATTTATGTTTTCTGAGTTAAGAAGGGAAATATTCACCTCGTCCCTTCTGTAAGTATTATCTGTTATGTAGCAGAAATCTTCCACATGTGGAGGAGTGATCTCTTCGTACTTTCTGTTTGATCAAACAAATTCAAGAATTAGGCCTTCAGAGCTTATGATCTAACATTAACAACTTCAATATTGATGAACTTACGAGGCGATAAGCATTGAAGAAACGCCCAACAATTGAAGCCTTTGCCTACTGAGGATGTTCATTGATAGGTACCTATCGATGTAAGAGATGGACAGATACAGAGAATCGGGGCCGAGTTTGTATTCCTCAGCAACCTCAACCATCCAATCAACCAAAACACCTCTCATATTGGCACTTACATCCGTCTGGATCTTCTCTATGTAATTAGGAATCGGCCTTCTTTTCGGTTCCGCCTGAAGAGAATCATCACATTAGAAACAACCAAGATCACGAAAACAAAATACACCAAATTCCAAAATCAGAATCCATTTGCACGAGAAAGGTGATTAGTTAGAGAAGAATCTTACCTCCATTATGCGAAGATAAGAATAGATATCCGAGGAATAAGGTCCCTTCATCTCAGGATCGTCCAAGATATCATCAATACTCAACTTCGGTTCATTATCTTCAAGAACAGCCGTCTTGATCGTCGGAGCAACACAAACCTTAGTTCTCTTCTTAGGCTTGCATTTGGTAATCTGAGATTTGGCCCTCCTCTTCTGTGGCAGTGAGCCAGTAACGTTCTGAATATTCGAAAGCTCTCCAAGAACCACCCGCTTTTTACTGGCGGGCTGATCCTCGGGCATGGAAGCCATGGCAGCTCTCTTCTTGGAAGCACGAGTAACACGGACAGAGTTCTGCGTCTCAGCCATTTGATCCTGAACTCAATCGACCTTTCACTGGATCGGAAATTGGAAAGGAAATCGAGAGAGATGGAAGGAGAGAAGGATGAGTTGGAGAAGGAGGTGTGAGGGGGGGGACTTTGTAGGGAGGGGAAAGGAATCGAGGAACAAGAAGACCGCCATTTTTTGGCAGAGGATTTGAAAGTGAAAACGCAGAAAAATGGATTTGGCGGTACAAAGATGGCGACCCAATTTGCATCAAATGATTTTGGATTTTGGGGTTTGAAAAGTTTTTAATTTTAATGTTTGCGGATTTTGGTGTTTTCCCGGGTTTTCTATGTTTCCATGGAATGGGATTCGGCGCTCCCAATTTGGCCTTCAAAAATGGCGCTAAGTTCTATAAATCTATTAAATTTTATAAAATTTACATTTTAATAAATTCAATAATATTCATATAATTTATAAAAAAAATTAAATTTCAATAAAACAATATAATATTTCACACCGCTAGCAAATATTGTCTTGTTTAATCCACTATATATTGTCGTAAATCTCGTGGTTTTAAAATGTGTCTAGTAAAAAGTTTCCACACCCTTGTAAAGAATGTTTTGTTCCCCTCTTCAATCGATCAAATATCTCACAATTCATTCCCTTGAGGCCCAGTGTCCTCGTTGGCACGTCGTCTAGTGTTTGGCTCTTATATCATTTGTAATATTGTTCTCTTTAGCCCAATTACGTATCGCTCTCAGCTTTACAATTTTAAAACGTGCCTATTAGAAAGAGGTTTCCACATCGTTATAAGAAATGTTTTGTCTCTCACATAATAATAATAATATGTATATATAATTTTGAGAGTAGGACGAATAAAAAAAACTTAAAAAGGAAACTAAAGTTTCTACCTGTACCAACAATTTGGGGCTTCCTTTTCACTGGCTCAATCTTAAGAACTTCATAATTAAGCACTTTACCTACAGCAATTCTATGTTGAGTGACCTCCTAATAATTTTTCTGGGATACATGTGAGTGAGACAAAACATGCTGGAATGACTCGTGAGCAAAGAGTAGGTAACGTGATCATATCACAGGAGATGCAATGGAATGTCGCAGCCATTGAGTATCAAAATCTTGGACATGAGACGTAACAAATGGTATCAGAGCAGTACCTCTCCCAATAAAATGTGGTTTAGGGACGAACTAAGACAGAAACTGGTGGGTACGTGACACCTGAGTCCGAATGAGAGCGGTCACACGAAACAATTTTATATTGAGTGACCTCTTATAAATTCTTCTCAGGAGCCTGAACTTGGATTGTTATGGCATGGCCAAATGCAAGGTTACCTATAACTTTTTGGGTAGAACTTGTTGCTTTAGACCATCATCTTTGTGAGAAGAACGACTTTTGGTATTAAACCGATCCGTACAAATCTCAAGCGTAACGTCTATCGTTCTACAACATACTCTTACATACCTAACAAAGGTAATACATACCTACATGGTTTTAAGCAAGGAATGTCTAGCATTTTCAAGTCTCGAAAGAGCATCCTTCATCGTAATGCGTGTATTAGCATAATCAGCGGTGCATGAGATGCCAACATCAATGACTTCAATCAAGCACTTCATCATCTTATCTTCACTAATTTGCCGACCTTCGTTATGGGAATGGAAGCCAATGTTTAATTGTCGATTAGGCGAGCCAACTGTTTGCATCAGATCTCTTAAGTAACTGGACTGAACCCATTTGGTTAGGTTATGTTCTCCTCTAAAATCTTCATGGGTCGGACTTCTCCCGGTAAAAAGCTCCAACAAAGTTATACCGAAACTGTATACATCTCCCGCCACTGTTGCCTTTCTTCCCATGCCGTATTCTGCAACGACAATAAAAATACCTTTAAACTTTGTAATATTACGTCGATTTTATAAGCTCAATGCTAACCAATTGACTTCTTATAGAATATAACCGTTCAAGCCCACTACTAGTAAATTGACCTCTTTCATGTACTAAAACAACTCATAGAGTATAATAGGGCTCAACCTCAGTCCACCGCTAATAGATATTTTGTCCTTTGCGCATTGAAGTAGTCTCATGGTCTTAAAACGCATCTATTAAAGAGAGGTTTCATACTCTTGTAAGAAATGTTTTGTTTCCTTCCCCAATTAATGTGAAATCTCATCATCCACTGTCTTCAGAGCTCCAACAGGCCCCTTGATGGCACATCACCAAGTGTTTGCTCTCGATGTGAGATCTCATAATCCACTCCTTGGGGGTCTAGTGGGCCTCTCACTGGTACATTGCCCAGTGTTTAGCTCTCAATGTGAGATCTCATAATTCACCCCTTTGGGGGCTTAGAGGGCTCCTCGTTGACACATCTCCGGTGTTTGGCTTTAATACCAGTTATAACAGCTCAAGCTCACGTCTAACAGATATTGTCCAATTGACCCATTACCTATAGCGGTCAGCCTCGCGGTTTTAAAACACATATGTTAGGAAGAGATTTTTACACCCTTTTAAGGAATGTGTTTTCCTCTGCAACCAATGTGAGATCTTGTACGTGATAGGACAACAAGCATCCCAATCATTTCTACGACTTTTCGTCCAACATTTTACTCGGAAAAAATTCGAACCTCGCCCATCACGAGCATAAAGAACTAAAATGATACTTTAACCAAATCATATAAAAATTTGAATATGAAAAGCACAAACCTGGAGGAATGTAACCAATGGAACCCCTAAGAACATGAGAGTCAGCGATGGAAGAATAAGGGCTCCCTTCATTCTCGATCAACAACCGAGCCAACCCAAAATCCCCAACTTTGGCAGTCATGTCTTCAGCCAAGAGAACATTACAAGGCTTCAAATCACAGTGAACAATGGGCACTTCAGAGCCATGGTGAAGGTACTCCAACACAGAACAAACATCAATGCCAATGTTCAATCGCTCCAAAAACCCCAGCCCACTTCCATCCAAGTGACGCCTCTCCCCATGAATCCACTCCGCCAAGCTTCCATTACTCAAAAACTCATAAACCAGAGCTCTAAAATCCCTTCCTTCAAAGTCTATACTCGAGCACGACGTAACGAGCTTCACAAGCTTCCGATGCCGCACACTGCGCGAGGCCTCGCACTCCGCAAAAAAGCTCCTAATATACCCAGTTCGTTCAATGTTCAACACCTTGATTGCAACTTCGCCATGTTCTTGATTCAGGTACCCCTTGTAAACTGACCCAAAACTTCCCTTTCCCACTAAATTTTCATGGCTGAAATTTGCTGTGGCGGCTCGAATCTCAGCGTATGAGACCATGTCGTGTTGCCTTTTTAATTCATCTGTTGACAATGGTGGAGTTCTTGGCTTTCTCTTGGTCAGATAAAACCAAGCTCCCATTGTAAAACAGAGTGCTAATGTTGAGAAGACGACTGTTAAAGCAATGATTTTGATTCTCTTTTCGTTGTGGGGTTTGTTATTTACACATACCGATGGCAAACAAAGCTTTGGATTTCCTTCTAAATAAACACTTGGAATTCTCTTTAAATCTCCACCTTCAAAAGCTACTCCTTCGAGGTCGTTAAATGAGAGATTCAACAGCTGCAAAGCTGTTCGATTTTGGAGATTCCTAGGAATAGGACCTGTAAGTTTGTTCGAGGAAAGATCCAAAGCTCGCAATCCCAAAATATCTCCAAGACTACTCGGAATTTGACCTGAAAACTCGTTCTTCGCCATTATCAATACCTCCAAGCTCTTGCAGTCGCTGATCGAAGAAGGAATTTCGCCAGAGATCAGATTTTCAGAGATATCAATTTTCTCAACGTTTTCGAGGAACTTGATTTCTTCAGGTAAATTCCCACTCAGCATATTGTTGGAGAGATTCAAAATCATGCTCAAACTAGGAAAATTTAGAGCCTCTTTGGGTATTCCCCCACTAAGCTTATTGCTGGACAAATCCATTGCAAGCAAGTTTGTGAAGTTTCCAAAAGAATTGGGGATGTTCCCGACAAGGTTGTTTCCCGACAAATCAATATGGTTTAGTTTCCCAAGGCTTCCCAATGAGCTTGGAATTCTACCAAAGAGCTGATTTTGAGCCAAACCCAGTAATTGTAATTGCTCCAATTGGCCAATTTGAGGTGGGATTTCCCCAGATAGCTTGTTTTTGTTCAAATTCAGCAAAGTTAAGCTCTGAAGATTGCCAATTGAAGATGGAATATTCCCATATATTCGATTCCCTCCCATGTACAATCTTGAGAAGACTTTAGAAAGGTTTCCAATGGATTCAGGAATAACACCTTCTAAGTAGTTTTCATCAGCTGCTATGAAGGTGAGACGAGAGCTGTTGGTCAAAGACGAGATGAAACTAAGCCCATCTCGACCCGAGCTAACGATCTTGTTGTGTCCAATATAATACATTTGAAGATCAGGCAAATTCTCCAATCCTGGTGGGATTGTTCCTTCGAAAAGATTGTGAGCAAACCGTATAATTCTTATTTGGGTCATATTATGCATTGATTCAGGGATTGTTCCTGAAAATCTATTGAAACAGAAGTTGAAGAACAAAAGATTTGGGAGATTATCTCCAAAATCCTTGGGGAGTGTTCCATGGAGACGATTTGCAGCTAAGATCAAAGTAACCAAAGAAGACATGTTGTAAATGCTTGGGGGAACAAAGCCACTGAAATTATTAATGGATATCACCAAGTTCTTCAAATTTTGAAGACGACCCAATTCAGAAGGAATCGAACCACCAACTGAATTGGTCCCTAAATTTAAGGTTATGAGAGAAGACAAGTTCCCAAAAGATGGGGGAATTGTACCGTAGAGATGATTCTGTCCCAAGTTCAAAACTTTAAGCTTTGTTAATCTGCTGAGTTCTTCTGGAATTTGGCTTGTGATTCTGTTGGAAGTCAAGTCAAGAATCTCAAGCTCTGCCATTCCACTCATGTTGGAGGGGAGGGCACCTCTTATGTAATTGAAGCTCATATTAAGAACTTTCAAGCGAGAAAGATTGCTAATTTGAACAGGAATTTGACCTGTTATTTGGTTGTTTTGAAGTTGAAGAGATTTGAGGAACAAAAGATTGCCAATTTGAATATGTACAGACCCTGCAAGCGCCAACCCAGAAAGATCGAGGCCGATGACTCTTTTGCCATCTTTATCGCAGGAAACGCCTGTCCAATTACACGGCGATGAGTTTTGATTCCATGAAGATAAAGGGTGGTCAAGATGGTGATGATTGAATCCTGACTTGAGGGAGATTAAAGCTTGCTTGTCTGATTCAAGGGTCGAGATGGACGATCCAAGAGAAACTGCAAAAGCTAAAATGAAAACACAAAAGAAGTGGATCATCTGTGGAGGAGGAGGAGAATCTGCCATTTTGATTGAAGAGGAATACTTGGTATGCATTCTTTGATATTATAACTCTTGTTGTTTGTTTGAAATGTTATCTTTAGACTTTTTTCTATCTGTCACAGTCCTTGAATTTGGTGAGATGAAAATATTGATAATTCAGCATGTTTACACTTCTATATGCTTATAGTTGTTGGGAAGTCATTCATTTCAATATGAAGAATGCGCATATCGCTGTCTTTTTCAGTTGGAAGTTTGCTTGTGCTTATGGTTCATGCACCATTGATGGAGTCAAGTTTGTCGTCTAAGAGTATATATAATTGTGAGATCTCACGTTGATTGGAGAGAGGAACGAGTGCCAGCGAGAGCGCTGGGTTCCGAAGGGGGTGGATTATGAGATCCCATATCGGTTGGAGAGGAGAACGAAACATTCTTTATAAGGGTGTGGAAACCTCTTCTTAGTAGACACGTTTTAAGAATCTTGAGGGGTAGCCCAAAAGGAAAAGTCCAAAGAGGATAATATTTGCTAGCGGTGGGCTTGGACTGTTACAAATGGTATTAGAGCCAGACACCGAGTGGTGTGCTAGCTAGGACGTTGGGCCCCAAAGGAGGTGGATTGTGAGATCTCACATCGGTTGGAGAGGAGAACGAAACATTTTTTTAGAAGGGTGTGGAAATCTTTCCTTAGCAGACGTGGTTTAAAAACCTTAAGCGGAAGCCTAAAAGGGAAAGTCCAAAGAGGACAACATCTGCTAGCGGTGAGCTTGGACTGTTATAAATGGTATCAGAGCCAGATATCGAGGTGTGTGCCAACGAGGAAGTTGAGCCCAGAAAGGGGGTGGACACCAGTCGGTGTGCCAACAAGGACGTAAGCCCGGAAGAAGGGTGGACACCGGGCTGTGTGCCAGCAAGGACGCTGGGCTTCGAAGGGGGGTGGATTGTGAGATCCCACATCGGTGGAGAGAACAAAACATTTCTTGTAAGGATGTGAGACACATTTTAAAAACCTTGAGGGAAAGCCCAAAAGGGAAAGTTCGAAGAAGATAATATATGTTAGTGGTGGGCTTTTACTGTTACAAATAGTATAAGCGCCAGACATTGGATGGTGTGCTAGTGAGGACGCTAAGCCTTGAAGGAGGGTGGACATCGGGCGGTGTGCCAGCGAGGACGCTAAGCTCCAAAAGGGGTGGATACGGAGCAGTGTGCCAGCGAAGACGCTGCGTCCCGAGAGGGGGTGGACTTTGAGCGATGTGCCAGTGAGGACGTTGGGCCCCGAAAGGGAGTGGACACCAAACGGTGTGCCGGCAAGGACGCTCGACCTCAAAGGGGAGTGAATTGATTGGAGAGAGGAACGAGTGCTAACTAAGACGTTGGGCCTCTGGGATAGATTGAACCTATAAAATTTGTTAAAAGAGCTGAAGTGTCATTTGCTCAAACCAATCTACAAGTGCTTATGTTTATTACTTGTACAAGAAAAATATCAACACTACCACTGTTTTATACTCTCAAATCCTTGCAATAACTGTCCCCAATATCATCAGCAACAAGTGGATGCTTTTTTCACTCATTGTTCCCATCTGAATGATGAACAAGAGTGGCTCTTATCGTCTTGAGCTTTACAAACACATCTTTCATGCTAATACGTTTATCAGGCGAATTAGCAGTGCAACAGAGTCCAACACCCATGACATCAACCAGACAATCATACTGTTTTCTTGGGTTAATCTCTTGTTCTTCATAGTATAAGTTGAATCGTGATTCTAACAGCGCAGCGTCCACTATTTCATCCATGTTCTTTGGATAACCCAACTCAACCCATTTCATCAAGTTCAGCTCTCCTGAAAAGCTTTCGTCTGTTGGACGTTTCCCTGTAAAAAGCTCCACCAATGTCACCCCAAAACTGTACACATCTCCAGCTGTTGTAGGCTTTCTTCCCACTCCATACTCTGCAAATCCAGAAGGGTTACTTAGTTTGGAAAACCCTTTAAAGGATGAGTTTTCTTTTTGAATAAAACACAAAACTTTAACGTTCACAAACCTGGAGGAACATAGCCAATGGAACCCTTTAAGACACGACTCGAAGTAATGGAAGCAGACTGGTTGGTTTCGCCTTCCATCAGAAAACGAGCTAACCCGAAATCCCCAACTTTTGCAGTCATGTCTTCCGACAGAATAATGTTGCTGGGCTTTAAATCGCAGTGGACAATCGGAACGTCGTAGCCATTGTGGAGGTAATCCAACGCAGAAGCAACGTCAATGGCAATGTTCAATCTCTCCAGTAAGTTTAGCCCACTTCCATCTTCATGAAGTTTATGCTTATGAATCCATGAATCCAAGCTTCCATTGCTTAAAAACTCATAAACCAAAGCAAGAAACTCCTGCTGCTTCAAGTCTATGCTGGAGCATGATGTGATTAGCTTAACAAGATTTCGATGTCTCACATGTCTTAGAGCCTCACACTCAGCAAGAAAGCTCCTCACAGAACCAGCTCTCTCTGTGTTAAACACCTTGACTGCAATACCAATCCCCTGTTCCAAACAGCCTCTGTAGACTGTCCCAAAGCTTCCTTTCCCAATCATATTTTCTGGGCTGAAATTATCCGTTGCCAAACAAAGCTCACGATGGGAGATCATCTCAGGCTTCCCCTTCACCCATTCAGTTGATAATGACAATGGAACCTTTGATTTTCTTCTCATGAAGTAAACCAAAGTTCCAAATACAAGAAATATTGCTAACAATGCTGATAAAACAGAGACGACAACAATTTTAATTACCTTCCCTTTTGTCCCTGTGGCTGCACATGAGAAATATCCATCACAAAGCTTTGGATTGCCTTGCAAATAAAGGTTGGTGATATTTCTAAGCTCCATTGGAACAACTCCCTCGAGATCATTAAAAGAAAGGTTAAGAGTTCGAAGAGCATTTAACTGTTGAAGCTCATCAGGAATGGGGCCTGACAGATGGTTGGAGGAGAGATCCAGAAGCTGGAGGCCTCTAAGATCAACAAACGTTCTTGGAATAGGACCTGAGAGTTTATTCCTCGCCATTATCAATACCTCCAAGCTTTTGCAGCCACTAATTGAAGAAGGAATGTTACCAGAGATATGGTTGTTTGAGATATCAATGGCAACAACATTTTGTAGAGACCCAATTTCTTGAGGGAGAGACCCACTGAGAAGGTTATTGGATAGATTTAGAATCTTGCTTAAAGCAGGCAGAGTGAGTGTCTCTCTCGGTATGCTTCCATTGAGCTTGTTTTTGGATAAATCCAAGTAGAGCAGATTCTTAAAGTTCCCAAAAGAGGTGGGCATGTTACCAACCAACTCGTTTCCTGATAAATCAATTTGATTCAACATTCGAAGATCACCCAAAGAACTTGGAATACTACCAGACAATCGATTCCTTGCCATAAGAAGCATTTGAAGCTTATCCAATTTGCCAATTTGAGCTGGGATTTCACCTGATAACGAGTTATCACTCAAATTTAGAAGAGACAACCCCTGCAGATTAGAGATTGTTGTGGGTATCTTCCCATAAAAACGATTCTCTCCCATATACAGCTTAGAAAGTTCCTTGGAGAGATTCCCAATGGAATCCGGAATTACACCTTCAAATTTGTTCCCATCGAGAGCTAGAAAGGCAAGGCGAGAGCTGTTTGTCAAGGAAGTGATGAAATTGAGGCCCCCATTTGCATCTGAACCCACAAACTTGTTGTATCCGATGTTGTACATTAAGAGATTGTGAAGCTTTTCGAGGCCTGGTGGGACTGTCCCTTCAAGAAAATTATGTGCGAACCGTATGACTTGTATTCTTGTAATGTTATGCAACGACTCAGGGATTGTTCCTGTAAATTTATTGAAGCAAAAGTTGAATACTAAAAGATTGGGGAGCTTTTCTCCAATATCCTTGGGGAACGTTCCCCAAAGGTGGTTGGAGGCCAAGGCCAGAGTAACCAAGGAAGACATATTGTATATGCCGGGAGGAACAGTCCCAGAAAGGTTGTTAATGGTGATAATCAGGTCCTTCAAGTTTGGAAGGTTGGATAATTGGGTGGGAATGGGTCCGCTGATTGAATTTGTTCCTAAATTTATGGTAACAAGCGATGACAGATTACCAAAAGATGGTGGGATTTCACCGTAGAGTTGGTTCTGTGCCAAAACAAGAACTTGTAGCTTGGTCAAGCGGCTGAGCTCGTCCGGGAGTCTCCCATTGATCTTGTTGGACATCAAGTCAAGGGTCTCGAGATCAGCCATTGTAGTGATGTTGGAAGGTAATGGGCCTTGTAAATTGTTGAAACTCATATTCAAAACTCTCAAGCGAAAAAGCTTGTTGATTTGATGTGGGATTTGCCCTGTTAGTTGATTGCTCTGGAGTTGAAGTGAGCGAAGGAAGGAGAGGTTCCCAACGTGAGGATCGATGGCGCCGGAGAGTTGAAAGCCAGCGAGATTCAGGCCAACAACTCGGCTTCCATTTGTGTCGCATGTAATGCCGACCCAGTTGCAGGGAGATGAAGTTTGGTTACTCCAAGAAAACAGGGGATTTGAAGGCGGAATGGTTTGAAATGCTGACTTGATTGCAAGCAAAGCCTGTTTGTCTGTGTCAAGATTCAGGGTGGCCGAGGTAACACCAGGAAGTGCGAGATATTTGAGAAGAACAATGGCTGAAAGAATGGCGAAGTGGAAGTGGGTGGCCATGTCTGGACGCGGAATTGAATGGCAGAGGAGAATGACTTTATAGAGCAGCCTGTTGAAGAATATGATTCAATGGAGAAAGCACAACGGTCAGAATGCTCAGCATGAGAGTTGAATATAAAGCTCAGTTGGTTGGTGGATGCCTAAGACCAAGTCCAAAGTTAAGTCGGTCACGACTTCTCGTATAATATAAACTTTAACGAAAATGTGAAGAAAATATTGTTTAAATTATCACAAGATATTTCAATTCAGGTCAAGTTAAACAAAAATCAAGAAATTATTGGTCATAAAATATGAAATTTAGAATTTTTGAAATGGTTTGCTAAAAAGTTGAGCTGTTTCCATTTTGAGGCTATATAAAATCATGTATGTTATTTTTATTGTTTAGATTAGTGACTAATAAATTTATGTTATCCTTATTGCAATTCTACGTGGTTTAGATTGCATGTTTAGAATCATTGAATCTTGACATGATCAATCTAACTTGTGAAATGATTCAAACATCAAATAAATGTTTTTGTCTTGAAATATTCGATCAACAATATAATATGAATTATATCGCTCAAAGTTTATGGATCAAACTTATACTTTAATCCAACATTTTCTTTTTATTATTTTTGGCATTTTCAAATATAATCTCGAACTCACCCTACAACATACGTAATTTGACTTGAAGAGATAAA